GCTTTCAAGCCCTGATTAAGGATATATATGTTGATTTGGTTCTTTGTTTTTTTTCATAACAGGATTACTTTAACACGAACATCGTTAAAGGTGACAGAAGCTTAAATAAGATTACAGTGCAAGTCCACTGAGATGCCACGGTTGTTACATGAATGCCTCACTCAAAGTGACTCCGAGCCGACCAGTTCTTGTTTTATCCCCTCAAAGCCGAGAGACAGGCAGAGGCAAGTGTCATCTTGTAACGTCTTAACTCCCAGATCTTCTACTCCCCGTGCCTACACTCTATCCCCTAGCCACTGACACGGTCTACCGTGGTCACTTGGTAGAGCGTCCGCCCGGAGAGCCGAAGGTCCGGGGTTCGATCCCCGGCCGCGTCATACCAAAAGACGTTAAAAGATGGTACTTGTTGTTACCCTGTCTGGCGCTCGACATTAAGGGGCTAAAACAAGGACTGGTCGGCTCGGAGTCAGTATACTGTGTCTGAGTGGGGTATTCATGTTAAACTGCGGCATGGTATCTCAGTGAGCTAGCACTATAAATCGGCATCAGTCCGGACTAGTACAAGCAGCCACAGACACACACGTGCATGCACGTCGCTATGTAAGTGCAATAATCTTTGACGCGACGTTAAACCCAATTTCACCTCACCTCACCTGACACGGTCTGATAATTTAGGACTGTCCGAGATAAAAGATACTTATACATCAGGGGTTTCAGGCTCTAAGTTTTTAATTCACGTTTCAAGATTCAAATTATTGACACTATAAACTAATGTTGTCCATATTTCGTCGGTAAACCTGTCACTGATAATGCAAAAAAAAAACCACGAAAAGGTTGCAGTTATTCAGATCTTGCTGTTCGGATTGATTGTGTTCAAGCCAGGCATTGTACAACCTTCTCAACTTTTGCTGTTTTGAGTGAAATAAAAGTCTCCATTTAAATTGCAGCGTTTTTGTTGACAGTTTTACTTAAAAGTTTTAAATTAGGTAAGGTTTTGATGGGAAGTCCCTGAGCAGCGACGCTATAACACATATAGGCTTCGAGGGTGATGGATTGGTGGTTCGGGAAGGTAGCGGGTATCGCCATCATTTATCTCGTGAACATAAAAAGCGCCGTTTAATCTGTGACACAGTCTCAACTTGAAGGCAGAGTTTATTTTACAGAGCTCAAGGAGTTCTAAATGGTGCAGTTACTACTTGAATGTACTTCACTCGGTGAGAGAAACATGATATTTCACTCGACACATGAAATATCCTATTTATTATATATTTTTGGTGTAGTTGTCTGCAGGAAGATTAAATTATTTCATTACAAATGTAAAACCTTCAATTCTCCCTACATAACACATATGGACGGTTTTCCACCCCCTGTAAGTACGACTAAAAATGTAGTTCCGTCTTTGCTAAATCTTAAAAAATATAAACAAAAGTAACCAAAAATATTTGATGTCACTAAAATTCTTTAGTATATATTTGGATATGATTATATACAAAATCAACTTCATCAAAAAATAAATTTCAAATCAATGAGACGGTTGTTCGAAGCGAAAGAATACACGCAATTCAAGTAACAAAATGGCGCTTTGCGAAACGTAAAGTATCGACTGACAAATCAGAAGAGAAATTCACAGTTTAATACAAATCATTTTCAACAAAATAACAAACGGTAAGAATCGGTATTAACTACATAAATGACCATCTGTCATTATATGACTTGTCAACGTTGAACTGACGTTAATCAACAGTTTGTGTACGAGCTGTCTTGTGTAGGCCAACATAGTTCCGTCAACGTGTTATGTTCACTGCAGTGAAATATCAGGTGTTATGTTCACTGCAGTGAAATATCAAGTGTTATGTTCACTGCAATGAAAATATCACTTTTCTCAACTTCAGAAAACTCAGTCTTTCACACTGAAGTATATAATAATAAAAAATATCACTGTTCGGGGTACATGTTTTACATCAGACTGTCTGTTTTATTTGCAGAAGTCTGTCTTCCCTGTCTTTCGAAATCATGATTTTTTGCTATAATAGATCAGAGTGAGTGGCGAATGTTGAGTCAATAGTCAAATTGTCAATTGGCGGCTTGTAAATACCCGAGTCACGACTAACGATTAACGCGGAGTAGAATGACAGGCAGTCAGACAGTTACAGAGCTTGACCACCCGATCGAGGTTTAGACGACTAGATACCAAAAGGGGATTTATAGAAAGTTATTGAATATAGCATATTAGACCCGATTGTGATCCTAGTTCTGCTACAGGGTGCAGGGTAGCATAGTGGTAAAAGCGTTCGCTTGTTATGACGAAGTCTGACAATGGTACCCAATAAAAATATGTTTTGTCTGTCGGTGAGTTCTTTGCGTTCCTAAACTATAAAATACTGTTTTGAATGAGCATGATGTTCTGTTCATGTGTAAACCACGTGCTGACGCACTGCACTTTGGGAATGTGCATACATCATACGTACAATGATATATACACACATGTATGTGCAAGCGTTTATCCCATCCCGACACAGACCTGTCACATGAATTGTTGTTATACAGGGGCTACAAAGTGATACCCAGTACTATGATATTGGGCTCCTATTCGGCATAGATACTTACAATAGTGTACCCCAGGCACTATAGTCCGTTTGCTGCAAAATCGTACCGATGAAATGCAATTTTGATATTAATCCGAAAACAACAATTCGTTTTAAATGGCATGTTAATTTGTTCATACCAATTCGTCACCATAATTTCAGGCATTGTCATGAAGTAGAGAAAATATTATTTTACATGTAATTGCTGGTGTTTCAATGCATGTTGTTACAAGGGGGCCTGTGCAATAAACATAACAGCTGACGGTAAAGTGAAATTTGATGATAAACAAAGCAGATGGTAATAAAACCGATCGCCAAAACGTATCACGGCAACGGCCATGGTAACCGGATGCACGTGAGTTCCGTGCAAATTGAAATGCACATGCGTTCGCTCATTTCTTGCCTTGTAAAGATCCACCTAGATCGGATAACATTCATTCGTTATTGAATTGCTACCACATTCCAAGATTGACAAGAAATCAGCGACGATTGCAAGCTGGACAAATGCAAACCGCCCAATACATTTCAAGTCCACGTAAAGACCATATACAGGCGCCAGCAACGGTACCAGACCACCAACACTACAGATGACCGACCACGTAGTTCAAGACCGAGGGTCACCACCCGACATCAGGATCGTCAGATTGTGCGTCAGATCTTCAGGATCGCTTTGTTACTATTGCGGAAACTGCTCGACAGACCATGGGGACACACCAGCGACACATTTGTGCTGACACCCTTCGTCGACGATTGACGAGCAGACACCTCCACTGTCACAGGCCCCACCAGCAGTTGAGAAGAGTCCTCTTCTCAGACGAGAGCTGTTACTGTATCTCAATAGTAGAGATGGCAGATGGCAGAGAGTGTGTTGTGTTGTGAGTGTGTTGTGAGAGCTTGTGTTGTTGAGAGAGATTCGTTGGGTGGCCCGAGCATCATGGTGTGGGATTGAATGTGTACATGTCTTGCACAGAGGGTCGGCCCTGTGGTCTTCAAGAATATCGGTCCAGGGAGAGGCAATTGTGTCACAGCAGCTCGGTACATTGACCAAGTCTTGAGACCACACGCCATACCTCATTTGGCACGTCGCCGCAACCACGAGTTTCAGCATGATAACGCCCGTGCCCACACTGCGAGAACAACAAGAGACTTCCTCCGGCAGAATGGCATCAGAACCATACAGTGGCCTGCCCTCAGTCCCGATATAACTCCCATTGAGCACCTGTGGGACGAGATTCAAAGACGGCTGAATGACGTCCGACCAAGGCCGACAACTGCAGCTGAACTGCGTCACTCGTTCCTCGGAGTGTGGGCCCAAGTGCCTATGGCCTTCATCAGCCGGTTCATCCATTCCATGTATCGACGTTGCATGGCAGTCATCAATGCAAATGGCGGACACACGAGATACTGACTTGTGATGCTATTTTCTCAGAGACTAGTGTTGTGTTTCACTTTTATAACATTTGACACTTTAATTTCAACCTTGATGATCAGTTTTTCCAAGTTTCACCTGAAGCATTACTATTTGTCAAATTCATAATGGTAATTTTGTAAATCAGACATTTTGTACTCATTTGCAAGTAACTTCGACAAAGTGTAAACTTTTAGTGAGACTATTTGCAGAGTGGAGGATATACAAGATATGTACGCACGCATATTGTGTTAAAGTATGCTATCAATACGACACACAACGCCCTCTTGGGTTTGCACAATGAATTTCAAATACCAAATTGCCGTTGAGAAAACGCAGCAAAAATCGATAATTTTACAATTTACTTTCATTCTGAGTAATCAGAATAGTTAATAACTATGCGAACGACGACCCCAACAAAGATTACATCTACATAATATATAGCTCGATAGTGATAACCTTCATATTAAAACACGTTGTTTACAGGTAATGCTCCTACAAATACTTACTTTTTCTATATTGAAATTGTGTGATTAGCGCTGTGTCCGGTAGAAAATTATAAGCTAACCCTTACTGATTTTCAGTGATCGATTCATATAGTTTTCATCACTGTTTTGCGGTTTACTCTCAGTGGAATCTGTATTCGCAGATAGTCGAGACTAATTATTCTCTTGGGTTGACGTTTGAAATATCCCTAACTAGTGTTTGCAGTAGCGGGCAGATGGAAGACTAATTCCCTTTCACCACGCGGGGCAAAGGTGGTGCCGTGATCTAAAGCGCCGCTTTTCGCTATGCAGAGTTCCGTCTTGAGGATCCGCTGTATATGGTTCGAATTTCAGATTCAGCCCAATTATGCCTCTTGATCCATAACCATGGCCTGCGGTTTCGAAAAGGTCGCAAAGGCCTTCGACGTGCATCTCTTTGGATTATCACCACCATTAGCCTGAAACGACGTAATTTAATTGAAATAAAATAACAATAACTGATTCACTGCTTTACCAAACAAGGTCAACAAGGAGTGGAACGGCTTGGTTCGGGTACTTCTTGACAAGAAGGCGGACATGGTGATCACTTCCCTCAAGATCAACCCTGAGAGGAGTACAGCTGTAGACTTCTCTGTCCCATTCCTTAAGACTGGGATCACCATCATCGTCTCAATCCGAGACGGGGCCATATCACCAACAGCCTTACTTGGTATGGCTACTGACAATACATTTAATGTTATTCACATTTTGGATCAAATAATTCAGTTTGCACGTCAAGGTCACAGATGCCGATTCTATTGCAAAGATTGTTTTAAAGTATTTTTGTAACGATTTCATAAAATCTTATAAAATTGGCATCATTCAAGACAATATATTTCTAAAACTTCTTTCGAGAAGGAGTCCAAGACTACATTTCTGTCATAAAGGTCTTTGTGAAATGCCACTAAAATGGAATTCACACCAAATGCTATCAGTTGATAATCAGAAACATGTCCCTTCGAAGTTATATGTTTGAAGTCTCTTTAGTGCCATTACAAAAACCTGTCCCTTCGAAGTTATATGTGAGAAGTCTCTTTGGTGCCAGTACAAAAAAACTGCCCCTTCGAAGTTATATTATGTGTGAATTCTCTTTAGTGCCATTACAAAAACCTGTCCTTTCGAAGTTATATGTGTGAATTTCCATTAGTGCCATTTCAAATATAATACAAATCACAAAAGTGGTTTCAAGCAACCTGACCAGTGAAAGATCCGGGTTAGAATAGGTCTTCAGCAACCCATGCGTGTCGTAAAAAGCGGCTATGCTTGTCGTAAGGGGCGACTAACGGGATCGGGTGGTCAGGCTCGCTGACTTGCTTGATGCATGTCATCGTATGCTGATTGCGTGGATCAATGCTCATGATGTTAATCACAGGATTATCTGGTCTAGACTTGATTATTTACAGACCGCCGACATATGGCTGGAATATGCTGATTGCGGCGTTACACAACAAACAAATAAACAAACAAACAACTTTGTTCCGAATCAATTCAGAAGAACTGCAATGAACATCATGCGTGTTTATAGAGCCCTACGACTACCCATCATGGTGCTTCATACTGCTGTTCAGTGTCCACGCAACAGGGGCTTCTATCTTCATCTTTGAGTGGCTGAGTCCCTATGGATTAGACAGGGGCAGCGCACTATCTAAGGGTAAGTACCAAATGTGATAGAAGCAGCGGCTTATCTGTCCCAACCCAGTACTGTCTTGTGGTTAGTCACTTGGCGATAGAATCTGAATGACGCACTCGTATTTATGTAAATACTGGGACTTTAAGGAGTGGTTGGTACCGTACCCAGACTGAATTATCACGATGTCATCACTCCCATACTTTTTCAGTAGAATCGTGGTCGGTTATCTATAATGAACACTGGCCCACTAGTTATTGCTGACACTATTGCGAAAGTAGAGCACACGAATTATTGTAGTGGTACTGTGTTATCAACATGGCAACATCTTCTTGGGTTCGCTCAAAGCATTTAAATTTCATCTAAATTGCAAGGAAGGCTAAATAGCTACCTTAACTGAGACGCTACCGCGAAAGTCGATAATTTTACACATTACTTTCATTCCAAGTAATCAAAGTAGTTAATAACTATGCTAACGATGAAAGTTTACCACTAGATGATTATAATGAGATGGGAAAGCCATCTGTATTCTAGACATCAATAGATCAACATGCATTTGAAGTAGGGAAAACTGCAGCGTTCCCTTATGCCAAGAGATCGGTGACACGTTTCAGCTTTATGAATTTCAAGAATACACTGTATACATTAACATAGAGTTTCATGCATTTTTCTGAAAATTGGCTGTATTGAATAAGGATGTCTGGGGTTGGTGTAAGACAGGTAAAGTGTGCGGCAGTGGCAGCTTGAAGTCCCTTCAGTTGAACGTGCCATATGGACTAACTTCAAGCTGTGGAGTTGGCAGTTGGTGTCCCTTTTTGGGACTCTGGATGTCAGCCATGATGCCCCAGTGGAGTCAGGAGAAATGTGAATTCTGCAACAGCGCGCTTGTGTGTCATTCATAACCCCGAGGCATTCCTTACTTAATTGCATCTTACGTGGAGAACAGAACAAGTCAATCATGTACACTGTTGATTATTTCGGTGAACCATATGACAATATGTTTTTGGATGGATAAGCAGTTTCTGTAATGATGTGATACAAACATATTAATTAGACTTTGAAGAGGTAAACACTTTGTCAGAAGATAACGGCTATGTAGATTATAAACAAAAGACACCGGACGAAACGGGGGCTTTAAAATGGATAGTTCGCGCAAAATCACTTCAGATACTTAAATTTGGGAATGTAATTTGTCAAGGAAAAGAGTACAATCGCGTAGATTAAGTTGTACAAGATATAAAAATGGTGTTTCATTTCTAGTGTCATGTATTCTGTAAATGAATATCAAAATACAGGCACTGACCCCCTCAGGTATCTGCATATCTGCATTAACGTGAAAACGTAAAAGTCCCTATCATGCATGTAGGTGACCAAGGTAGATACCACTTAGTGTCAAGTTAGCAACGATAATGTATTGAACAATTTGCCTCTTTAACGTATTCTTTGAACATATCAAACGTTTAGGCCATGTGACGTAAAATAAATACGCTAGAGAAACATCCCACCCTCTCGTAGCTCCTTGAGACTGTGGATGTCCATTCTTCAAAGCCATCTTCAAGATTAATGTCCCCTGGGCACCGTAGCTCAGTATTGTTTTGCCGGTTGAATAGTTTTCACTGCCACTTGATGCTGATAGAGGACTCGTTTTATTATTTCTGCACGGATGCAACTACTTTTCAAGAAGGCCGTTGTAATATATCTTGATAATATACTGCCACGGGAAAGCTGTACAAGAAAATGGATGAGCTATTCAGTCTTTCAGTCAGTTACATTTGTTGTGCGTCTCGTTTTGGCTCCTCAACAATAATTCGTTAATAATCTATTTTCAATTGCACAATATACATTGATGTTAAAATATGAGCCCTGAAAAAATAACGTGTGTGTACCAGCTGAAGAAAACACACACAATTAGATCTGGTTTTTACTCTTCATGGACGTGTCTGTGTTGCGTGGTTTTTATTGATCGGAGTAGAAGATGATGTTCCGGAGAATGTTTTTTGTTGACGATTGAGGTCAGGCACGACGTCGTCCTCACAAATTGAGAATTGCGGGAGGTACTAACTGATAATTTCCTTTTTCTTAACCTCTCCGTCGGTGTGTGAAAAAACCTTGTTTAGCATTGGCGGGGGAAATGTACTGCACAGAGTTAGGTAGGTTAGCTGAAGCAAGATGTCCCAGGGTCTTCACTCGTTGCAACATAATACTAAGCAGTGGTCTTGTGGAAAACATCAGTTTATGTGATATACTGTCTGAGTGAGTATGAGGACGATTATGAAATTTAATGACAATAAACATTAAAAGAGCCTTTCTGAAATACATCTCCGAGAGTTAGAGAGCAAAGCCCTTTACACTACATGGAAACACGTCCATATACAAGTTTAGCCTGATATAATGGCAATAGCAACATAAAGGTTGTCAGAAATCTGCAGTGCATAGTTTGAATAGCGAGCTTCGATTTGGGAGGATGTGGTTATGCAAAGTTGATCAAATACTGCTTGTAGAATTACTTCGCAACGAACCTTGCATACATTTGCATCTTCGCAAAATGCCAAAGTATGCCTCTTAAAACCCTCATTCTTTCATGGTTACTGCTTTATCATTTGCCTTAAACTTCTTTTGGGGGCTTGACAGTTCACTTCTTCAGTCGACAAAATAGTCGAATTCAGTCGATTTAAATATGATCCGTATGAACCATAGCTCATTGTATGCGACAAAGAATGGGGTAAAATAAGGGTCCGTTGTGGTCCACATGATCTGTATGATTTAGGAATTGGGGAAGAACTAAAGTATATTTATTTCAACAATTGCAACAATTTGTGTAACTTATGCAACACAAACTGCATAGAGGTTTTAGGGCTGATTTTAAAGTTGTATAGGAAACGTTTTGTAATATTTGAACATGAGCAAGTTATTTATCCAAGCTGAGTTGGTCCAAGTTGATGAGAACAGGACAAATATACGATAACCAATTCATGTTGGGTCACAGGTTTGATCATACTTGTATCATGTGTTTAATTTTGATCATGTTAGAAGTCCACATCTTGTGAGTGTCAATCACATGTACACGTTTGATAATGTTGATTTCAATATTCCTGCAATTTATTTTTCCGCAACTTTAAAATTTGACATTTCCAATGTGCAAAAATGCCCCTATCGTACCTCGTCCCTTCCGTTGGAATACGTTCTCCTTCAGCAGACTTGATACTGATTGCATAACAGACTGGCGACCCAAAGATTACTAGGCTCTTGACATTTCAGACCACAAGTTCTCCCTGTTCCGTTCCTTGTGGCTGATATGGGCAATGTTGTTCAGTGCAGCCGTTACAACCGACACGCCACGGGGTATCTCCAGTCGCTTCCTCGGGAACATGTGGGCTCTCTTTGCTCTTGTGTTCTTGGCCAGCTACACTGCCAACCTCGCAGCCTTCATGATCACCAAGAAGGAGTACTACGATTTGTCTGGTATCCAGGATTGGAGGGTGCGTATATGTGAACCTGCGTCTTCATGCTTTGTACAGTATTCCAGTTATATTATGGCTTGTCACCTTAATGTGGGAGGAAAGCCCGAACTGATGCAATTGCCAGACATTTACCACTTTGGTGAAATCCACGAGGACACATTGAAATGTGTTCATCTTTTGTGGAACAACATGAAAAAATCAACTTAATTTATAGAGAAACCGGCTCAGCAGTTAAGGTTAAAGCTCTGAAATGACACAGCTGTCCTGTTGATCACAAATGGATCAAGTATACCCTATATGCACAAAGCGATGTGATTTCGTCTAACGTGCTGATCAGCTAAATTATAAATGTAGACAGTTGGTATACGTAAACCTTTTATGAAAACTTCAAGTCACTTTAGACATAACTGTAGCTTTGTGGCCGATTTTAGCAACAATATATCAACTGACATCTGCAGTCTAGAAGTCTTAAATAGTTATACGCTACAAAACGATATTTCCCATTATTGACTTTGAAAAGTTATTTAATTAAACAGAGCTCGTTAAAGCATTCTCAACATGAATAATAAACATTTCAGGAATGATATTTTACCAGTAACGCGTGTATGGTGGTGATTCAATACAGTCTTCGGTACCATTATATTGTCATCAGGAGTTTGTGTAAATCGTGTATATGGAGAGGTTGCGTGTTGCGGCTCAGCTATACAAAGCCAGTCTAGACAGAAACTGGGAGGAAAAGCAGTATAAATTTTAATCACTTGCTGTGTGTTAGATTGTCATGTGCTATGATAGGACACGCAAAGCATCACCCAAGAGCAGGACAGGAGCTCGGAGTTCAATTGATACATCAATATAGCGAGACATCATCTGTTCATTGTGAGATTCAGTGGTAAAAGGGGATAGTACGGGTCCCATACAAAATGACATTATCTCGTAGTCGATAATATTAATCACCCCGGCGCGTGTTTGTGTACAGATTATGTAGAAGCAATTGTAATTGGTGAACAATTGACAAGGAAATGGGTAAATAACTAAAGTTATTATTATAGTCCATAACTTGTGTTTTACTCTTGAAACACACTTTAATACATCTATATCGTGAAATACTTAAGAGAGCCCGTGTTTCGAAAGTGAGCCAGTTATTGAGTTCAGTAATAGTTTCAAAAATGTTTTGACAAATATGTTCTATCAATGATTGAATAGTACTATCAATGCTAGTTCTAGGTTCTTCCGGCATAAAGAGTTTAAAAGTCCCCTGGAACCAGAACAGAAACGTTCTCATATAATTGTGAAATAGAATACCGAAAGGCTTTGAGCTGGGCTACTAAGAATCGAGGTAAATGAATGTAGATGGGCTGATATTGATGTAAGTTTACGGCAGTATCCTATATGTGAAACAAGTATAGAGGCTGAATATAATTCTACTTATCCTCACTATGTAAATATCTGAATTACATCTGTGAAAGAAGACGTAAGTATGAAACTCCTGTACATTTGTAAACTTGAAGCTGCCACTACTTTTTGTCATGTGCCACACTATTTGAAATGTATGTAATGTATATGGGCCAATGGTCTTAGTACAACTAAAAGACTTTAGACATCAAACAGAGTTTATGAATAATGCTTTAAAAAAGTCTAAACTACCCAGGGATTTGCGTTTTCTATGTTAAACTTAATTGAATAGTCTCGAAGAAGAATTCGCTGCCAATGAATTCAGTTGCTATTCCCAAGACTCCTGGAGATCCAAGTATAGACTACAAAACGCTGACGCCAACTGGCTTTAAATGTCCTGTAATTACAAACAATGTTTATGGTTACGTGCGTCTCATTGAAGGCATTAATTACTTTTATGGGTATAGTTGTTGGAGGCACCATCTGTTAATGCTTACAATGCACTTTATTTGCATTGCAGTTTGCCAGCAACATGTAGGTACCTATTATGTGAACGCATACAAATAATGGTGCTTGTAGAACAAACAAGAAAATATGGCATGAGTCCACCTGCGTCGCTTAGACTATTGCAACTCTCGTGCTTCAACATATCCTTACACTAGTTGTAGTCTTCGGACAGTTTTGTGAAATTGTTTATCATTTGTATCATATTATATATTCTGCTTTGTACGTGGTAGGGTGGTATTCTGGAGGCCTGCAACCTAATAATTTCAGTGAACAGAATTTGTTTTCAAGTTACAGATGGAAAGATGAAAATACACTATAATCAAACATTTAATTAAGAATACTGTTTACCTTTGGGATCAGACCGACCAACCCCAACGTGCAAATACGAAAACAATGGAGATAGCTCAAGATTGCTATCAGAGTGACCTCCCTTTCCTAATATGAACCACCGTGGTTTTGACGTTATTTTGATAGCACTGTAGGCAAAGTGCTTTGTACAGTGGGAAAAGATGCCCATGTTGATCAACGAAAAAAGTCATGTTAAAGGAACTTGATATTATTCCAGCTCCAAAACCCGAAGGCCATGAAGCCACCATTCAAATTCGGTACCATTCCTAATGGCAGCACAGAGACGAACATCAAGAGCAACGACCCCGAAATGTACAAGTACATGAGGCGCTACAACAGGCCATCCGTGGCAGAGGGCATCAAGGCAGTCACGCGACAGTGAGTCATCTCCTTGCACAACCCTCTCACACCCAACTTAGTATTGCTGGTACAGTCACACGATTTCATTGGTTTCTGTATCCGCAAAGGGACGAATAATTGTGATCATATTACCCTAATTATAATGGGAAAGTTATTTTTTAAACGTCGAACAGCTTTTTTCTGTTATCTTATTATTTCATGGAAATCGGACAACTGCATTTCGTGATGATACAGATTATACGGTTTTACAATGCATTAGTCTATTTTATACACAAGACACCGCCTGCAAGACAGTTCAAATATATTGTTGCCGTTTCAATGCTCACAGGAGTAAAAGAAAGTAACACCTTACATTGTATGTCCATTAAAACTGATGTATTGCAATGTTGCATTCCCACATGTCAACGTTATCGTGTAAAGTACCCACAACAAACTTAATGAAGTTATAATATAAAATGTAACTCTGTCAATTTAAAACAAATCTACAATTTAAAAAAAATAAATGTTTCATCTTCATACGAATTAAAAAATAACACCTTAAAGCCTCCGAAAAGAGATTTTTTAGTTGTGTTTTTCCAAACGGTCACAATATGACAGATACGAAGATAGATCCTAGGTATTTCGTCGAATTGCATATATAGCACTTCGCCTTCAAAGTTTACACTTTCGACATTTACATTAACCTTCAAGTTTATATTCACCATGGGATGTTGTTAATTATCACTTTTGGGAACACTTTTATTTATAATCGATTTTTGCTTTAGAGCATTTTAAAATTATACTTTACCACCTAATGCATAAACTGCGTCCATACAATGCATCCCGATGTCCAAATGAATTTTCAGTATGCACAATGGCATTCTTTAGGTCGGGTTAGCCGCGGCAGTTGACAAAACTTGTTCGTGATTGGTCATTACTGATCAGAGTGGTGGTAGGCTTGGACAAATCTGCTCGAATTGTTTGAACAACACTTTATCTGCTGCATTTACGATACCACGGCTGACTGCTGGAGATTCGCTCCGAACACGGGAAACTGTGAGGCAACACATTACCATCGTGGTATGTTGGGCGCTGACATTAAATCTTTTGTTGCTACACGGAAAGTGATTGCAACCTAATGGCCAGCTATAATTGCTCTGTCCATCTATTTGCAGTAACCGAAGTTCTCGCCATCTATCAATGCATATTACCTTCTTGTGAACCATTAATGTACTTTGTGTATTTTCGCCTGACATAACATACATTGCTGCACGAACTGAAACTCCAGTTCAATCCCCTCTGTAGCTGTACAATGAGTTATTTTGCCATTATGGCAAAATTTGTGTGAAGAATAATGGAAAAGGTTTGTTTCAATCACAATGTTAGTATTGTCCGTTCATCTGTTACCAAGTATACCACTGCAGAATATGTCATAGGTACAGCTTGTCTTTGATCGGGACACAATTGTTGTTGATTGTGGATAGTAGAGGAAAACAGAAATTAGCGCCACTTTATGCAATAGTTCAGGAGCTAACCGTTAAGTGGCCATATATATGTTTAGAACGTTAAGGGTGATGACATGCCACAGGTCATAATCTGAGAAACAAGAGAGACGATCTTTGACCAACTGATCCTGGCACCTACATGTACATGTAAGGGGCGCAACTTAGCATGACGAAATGTGGCAGCCAGTGTTTCAAAACAAGAAACCTTCATCCAATTTCAGACACTACGTACGTTACTCTTCAGGAGCATATGTGGGGTAATATCAGAAAGTGTGTGTGTGTGAGAGAGAGAGAGAGAGAGAGAGAGAGAGAGAGAGAAGAGAGAAAAGAGAGAGAGAGAGAGAGAGAGAGAGCGCCTGACCAATCCATTAAGTCTCCTCTTACGAGGACCAATTTGGTATGAACATTGTCCATCACGACTTTACATATCATCTAAACATGATCATGTTATCGAATGGATTTTTGGTAAATATTCGATTGGTAAAATTATATCTCAGCTTTGACATGGCTTATTTAAAATTGTATTGATCACTGGTTAGGTTCCATAATATTTGCAAACGGTTGCCCGACGCCCAAACTTCCACAAGCTATCATGACATGACAGGAACAGGAACGGTGTAAACGTCTAGCTAACCCAACAACGTTTGCTACACAGACAGCTCCATGCCTTCATCTATGATGCGACTGTGTTGGAGTACCTGGCTGGACAGGACAAAAAGTGTAGCCTCATCACCGTGGGGAAGTGGGGAGCCATGACAGGGTACGGAGTTGCTTTTCCCAGGGGGTCCCCATGGATCGACAAGGTTAATGGTGTCATACTTCGACTGACACAGAAAGGTATGTATTCGTATTCATAGCGCAGGGTATGGTGAAGTTGTACGTGGTATACGAAGTAATTTTCCATGACTTAATCATTCTGCATTCAGAGAATATTTATTCATTGCTTCTTGATGGAACTAGCATGGTTATGCTTAAGTTTTGTACTGGTATATTTTAACATGAAAACAGATCAATGTTATATATATGCATATTGTCATTATGAAGTATCACAGAAATAATCCTGTATTTGAATAGGGTTTGATAAATACACATCATAGTGCACTGTTAAGAATAACAGATATAACAGATATGCAATCTATGCATGGAAGAGAAGCTCGAGATCCTCATGCTAACATCTAACAAGCTAAACAAAAGAAGCGAGCTCATTTCCACCTGTCGCCATGGTAAACCCCCAAGCCGAGCAAAAAAGAAAGGGTCAAACCAAAAACCATGTTTCATTATGCCTGATGATCGTACGCAATACCATGGGTGCGTGAAACTCAGAGTTGCAAAATGACATAAGGAAAGTGTATCCAAATCTGTGTGTGTGTGTGTGTGTGTGTGTGTGTGTGTGTGTGTGTGTGTGTGTGTATATATATATATATATATATATATATATATATATATATATATATATATGTCAAGGACTAAAGATCTTATTGAGTCCTTAATGTAAATAACTGTTTCATTTATATGTATCCCTCGGTCTTTTATTCTTATCTCTTGTTGTTACTATATTGTTTGAAAATGTGATTTGGTGATAAATTGTGCCTGATTCTTTTCACCATTTGTAAATATCACATGTTGAGACCTAAAAAGAAAACGCAGGCAGGCAATACCATTGGGACAGTTAAACTACAATTGTAAAATAGTATACACTATGAAGCTTCTGGTTTAAAATCGTCTTTGAAATATCTTCTTGTAGGAGAGATGGAGCGACTTCAGAAGTTCTGGTTGTCTGGAGCATGTCATAACAATAAGAAGAAGGATCCTAATTCTAACGGCTTTGGTCAGGGGGCCAAGAGTTCTTATCTGGGCATCAGAAACTTCACCAGCGCGTTTATATTCTTGGCTGGTGGTATTGCCTTGGGCGTCATCTTGGTGGTCTTGGAACATCTATACTTTCGCTTTGGTCGGAATAGACTCAAGCAATGGGACAAACGTGGCTGTTGTGCCCTTGTCAGTTTGGTGAGTTTCATATCATAATGTTTGCTTGCCGTTGAATATGCCCTTGTCATTATAGTGAGTTGCATATCATACCGTGTGTTTGTCGTTGAATGTGCCCTTGCCAGTATGGTGAGTTTCATATCATATTGTTTGTGTGCCAGTTGAATGTATTTTTGTCAGTCTGGTGAATCTCATATCATATTGTTTTCCTGCGTGTTAAATGTGCCCTTGTCAGTCAAGTGAATTTCACAGTATTAGGTTTGTGTGCCAGTTAAATGTGCCCATCTCAGTATAGTGAGTTTCATATCATATTGTTCGTGTGTCCGTTGAATGTGCCCTTGTCAGTCTAGTGAATCGCATGTGATGTTGTGTGCTTGTCAGTTGAATGTGACCGCCGTGTCCTATCTTGCACAAGTAGTCATAACATACAAGCAGCTGGAGCGCTGTAATCTCAACAACAAACTAACCCAACAACCTTTGCTACTCAGACTTGTGTGACTTCTATTTTGCACATACATTTGTGTGCCACATGTGTTATACGTTCAGAACAGCGATATACACATCTAAGTTACAATTAGCGAGACGTCCATGAAGTGGTTTGTGCGTTGTTCACCGCGGTTTATAGGTAATACCTGCAATCAATAATTTAATAAGGGTCTTTAAAGATACGTACGGAAGCTGAAAAGGCTACATTGGGTAAATACGGATAGTAATTGGTACTTGTAACACAACTTATCTGAACCTCTGTTAGCAAGTTATTTGTACTACTACTACTACTACTACTGAATCCCGTCATATGTCCTCACAGTCCAAAGGTTTTCAGAAGTACATCACTCTATTACTGCTCATTTTGCGTTGGGCAACAAGCCATCACGTACTGTTTGAATGAAAATGTGTTATTGGAGGGTCTACCGATAGAGATGTTGTCATAACTGATTTTCCCTGATCCATTTGTATCATTTTCATCACGTTTTTTAGCCCTTTTCGACATATGGAATCTGTTAAAACAGATATGCGTGTCTGATCAGTTGACGTTTTGGGTTGCTTTGAAGCTGAACTTGAGGTGTAGTTGTATGTACTGAGATAAAGATGAACCACAAAGGCTTTCTATTGTTTCTTCATTTCAATATTTCAAACTCAGCCGATCCATTTTTGTGTTCTTAAATATCTTGTTATTTTCACGATTCTTTGAAGGTACAGACTACTTTTTAAAGAAAAATATTTCAAGGTGTAAGGTGTTGACACCATGAGGAATCATGCTTGTGTGGCCTTTCTTGACAAGTGGTTTGTCGTGAAAACTGCATCATTCTTGTGTTATATTTCTTGACGAATGGTTTTGAAAACTGATCACATTGTTTTGCTTGTATTGACAAATGTTGTGTTAATCTGTTATCGTTCTGTAAAACATCTAGTCTGTGTTATTTATGGTCAATTATCATTGAAAATGACGTAAAACTGCATGAACAATGTCATTGATAAACGAATATACACCTTAGTTGGTTCACAACTATTTAAACCCGTCAGTGCAATGTTGATAATGGCGCCGCGATAATGATCAATTCTTGAAAGTTTAGGAAAAGTAAAAAGCTTTGTAATGAGGCTGCGTTGAGCATGTCTCCAACGATCAAGGTTTCGTTCAAATTCAAAGCTAGCTATTATCAGTATCGGTCAATGTAAACTTGGAAATTATTATCTTGCCACAGAGCATGGGTCGATCTCTCACATTCAAACAGTATGTGACCAAGGCAATAGATGTCCACAAACGGCATCGCTGCACGGACAGGACTTGCCAGGCCCAGTTTTGGGAGGTTCAACATGAACTAGATGCAGCATTGGGAAAGGTGGACAAACTACAAACACTAATTACGTAAGTTGCCATAGAAACCTGAGTTACTGCCTTAACTTATTTTGCCTATGGTAGCTCAGAAGCAGATCTGCAATAAGTTGCACCTTTTGAACGTACTGTATTGATATTGTCAGAGTATTGTAGGTGGAAATCAATAGCAGAAAAGGTTTGATGTTTGTTTCCCATGTATGAAACGTGATTATCTTTTAAAAATGTCAGTAAATGCAGTTTCTTGTCCTCTAATTTGAATCATTGACATGCTAATTATTATTGAACACGTTTATTACGCAACATGGGTAATATGTGAAACTTCTTCTTCCGCCGTGAGACCGCCTCCACGGGCATGAGGAGAGCGTCGGCCCGGATAGCGGTAGGTCGGGGGTTCGATTCCAGACCCCGTCGTACCTAAAGTCGTTAAAAGAGGGTACAGGTTGTTACCTGCCTGGCGCTCGGCATTAAGGGGCTGGTTGGCTCGCTGTCAGTATACTGTGCCAAAGTGGGGTGTTCATGTTAGACTGCGGATTGGTATCTCAGCGGACAAGCACTGTAAAAACGGCTTTAGTCCGGACTAGTATAAGCACACACACACACACACACACACACACACACACACACACACACACACACACACACACACACACGCACGCACACACACACACACACACACACAGAGAGAGAGAGAGAGAGAGAGAGAGACAGTGCAATGATCTTGAACGTGACGTGACGTTAAACCCTATTCCACATCACCTCTTCCGCCACGATATGGCTGGAAAAAAGCGGCGTAAGAGTATACTCACTCACTTTTTCAAACACTATTACAACGAGGCATATCAACGTATGGATCATTTCGGGTTCAGAGCCCAGGTTTTTTACATGACGAACACTTAAGCAAACCCACCGATACTCACCGATACCCACCGATATCCATATCTATAAATTATATATATGTTCTTGTATGTTTCTTATAGATTATAACCTCCGAACATATCTCAATATTTAATGGATTTCTGGTGTTTACTTCCAGAAATAATCGACTCAATTCTCACTGGAATATTATACACGAACACAAACTTACAGTATAATTAGCTCTTGGCATGGATCCCTGTGGAGAAACTTTCATACATACAGAAGTATGTATAGCTCGTCTAGACTGCATAATTTCATTTCACAAAGCCATCCGATTCGTGGTTTGAATATTACTTTGTAATACGTTAATGAGCCATTCCCAGGAGACAGCTGATGCTTGATACTACATTGTCTACATGAAACGTTACTTTGGTAAACCCGTGTGTGTACTTCAAACAGTCCGTTTATAATCCGTATGGTTTTAAGACGTTTTTTAAGACGTATATATCCCCTCCAAATATATTGTATGCATACAAACTTATAACTCATCTTTGCATTTGTGTTCTTTTTGAATTCATAGACATATAAAACAACAGAAAGAAGATAGATGTGTGTGGAGATTCGAGTCAGAAGGTCATCCAAACTTAAGTCCAGCTAAGACGACAACTCCACTGAGAGAGAATGCTGAAGAGAGACATGTGGAAGGTGCATGTGAACAGCCAAGACGTCGTCAAGATGATGCGGACAAGAAAGGAAGTGATGTCTCACAGGTTGAGAAGGTCAGGGACGAACTGATGAAGCTTCTTCAGGATGAATGCGAGCGAGAGAGCGTCATATGAATTCTATTTCGTTGACATTTTGGTACGGTAGCTAATATTTGTGGCTGCCTATCTTGTCACTTCAACGAAGCTTCAACGAGCATTCATCAGTATTGATCACAGTTGCAGCCACGCGGGACCTTTAAATATTAAAGAACATACATCGATGTGAGAAAGCTCAAATGACAATATGCTGACGTGAAATGATTAAAAAACACCGTGTCTTCCAATCAATACATTTGTATACCTTCCATCACTACGTGGCTCATGGTGCACACATATAAACCATTATGGGAGAGTATGTCTGTGTGACAGTAACATGTCGACACTGACACCCTCTGATATTTGAACATAAGACAATGGCATCTGGGGTTTATTTAGGACTTGAGTTCCATCGCTACTGTTTTCAGTATTTAACACTGACACGTTTACAGGGACAATACAATTACTTTTGGGACAGCCTTGATGAAGCCATGTCAACAACGAACACTCTGCTCCAAATTTCCTTGTCCCCTTTAATAGATAACCTGTTTATTCTTGCCATGCAATGGGAACATAAGAATAGATTCGTGCACGAACGCTGTTTTCGATTGTTTATATTTAAACGACGCTTTGTTGACTAACCAACTATCCGTTTCAAAAGTTGTTTCCCCGTCGCATTCCCTAGAGAGGCAAAGCGGAGATTGACGTCAAATGTCAGTGCACATTGCTCACACAAACAAGGAGAACAACAGCAATAGCTCTGATGTTCCGACATCAACGGAACCGTTAGAGGTGATTCTGTAATGTTTACCCAAACGTAGATTTAGCGTTGGATGATATATGTCATTGCCTTAATATTGAATTCAGAAGAATGTTTTGAGATTGTTACTGGAATGATTATGAGGCATCATTAAAACACTTGCACATACCATCTGTCACGAAATCATACAAACATTCATACCTTAAGAAAGATTCAGTTCCATTTAGCAATGTTGTAAAATCGGTAGAATGATCGGGCTTCTTATAGTGTATATGTCAATAGATGCCAATACAATAATGCTTATCAGAGCTTCCTAACTGTACATAGAGCATTGGCTTCAGGGTAGTAACGTTTTGTCACACTGTTATGTATTTTCTTCGAGAGACGTTGGTAGTGGTTGGTTCCCACAGTTTGTAAATAAAACCATTTTCCGTTTTCCTGCGTATGGATGCATTCAAAAGTACGTCCCTTCTTGTATGAGATAGTACCTTTGGCAATGATTGTAAAGGAACGGATCATTTTATCTGCCAGGTATACAAGTGTGTTCATGCTTCGTTCATCTTAACACGTAAACTTGGTGTTAACTGTCGGAAGGGACACAGTCTACATAAGGGAGATGGTTTCGGTACAACTATAGGATACGTTCTTTACTTTGTTTCCAGATTGTAACCGGTTATTCTGTCTTCTTGACATTTGGTAACCTGTTCCATTTTGACCCAATTTAAAATCTTCTTTAGGGTTATGGTTACACCTATTTTACTATCCTACACTTAGCATTTTGTAGGATTTTGGTGGGCTAAAAAACACATTCTATAGCTTGCCCTCCCACACGCTGTATGTTTACATGTATACGACTTCTTTACAAGTATATCTATATACAATGTATAGTTTTCATCACTTGGTAAAAGTAGGATGAATACTTTTTGATAGGTTATATCGCGACCGAGAACGTAAAATTGCCGATTTCTAACTTATTCTATTCTGTTATATTCTATTACCTTTCCCATTATTCTGATTAATGAATGTTCTAAATTTATTTTTAATGTTTGAACATAAAATCCATAAGAAATTAAAGGTTTAGCCGAACAATTGCCTCATTACAGCATTTTCCATGTAGATGTGGTAGATATTTCAAAACATTAATTTGTAATCTTGTGTATCATGTTATGACAGGATACATCTTCAAGGACAAATGTCTATGCATGTAATTTACATTTTGTATAACCTGTTATAATTAGGCTACCTGGCGTTTGTTGACCTGGTTTAACGTACCTGACAATTAGGGGAAACACAGACACGAGCAACGAAACGATACCACACTGAATGCGAATGAGCAGATGACCTGTGACGTTAAATGGCAAACTTTTTTTGTCTGCGTTGGTGTCCTGTTTCTTCGGGGAAAAGTGTGTAGTACTATTGTACCAGGGAACTATAAACAGTGCTGATATCGCAGGTCATTAGACAAACAGAACAAGTCAGGTAACATCATTTACATTTAAATTACACAGACATATATATAATGCAAATGTGTTATGTTATCTCCTTTTATGTTATATAATTAAACACATCCAGGTCAATAGGATTTCACTTTTTCTTGGCTAAAGGAAGGTGAACATTTCGTACTTCTTGACGTTATCTTGGGATGGCATAAGATTACAGAGAAAATGATTAAACAATGCATGACGATCAGACTTTATTAATCAGACATTTATGTGTCTGTTTCTTTCCTGTGGTTTCTTTCTTTCATAGTCCACAATGAGATGTTCTCTTATAGCGCTGACATGCCATGCATCGGCCTGACAAATATGTTCTTTTTTATACAGAAGCCATTCCGTGAAATAAAATGTATTGAAGGTTGTTTGCCGTCCTTTTTGTGATTAATATATGTGACTTTTGTATGGGAGAGTACTCAGTGGAACATATATATATATGTGATTGTCTCCCTTTCACTAACTGGAGACCTGTGGTATTGTTTCGTGAGTTAAAGCTATTGAGGAGAGGTATACATTATGGATTTCAATGACTGTGTTGGATTATCAAAGTTTTCATTCATTTACTGTAGCATGTTAATCACATGTAACTATTTCAATATACCGGCATTAGTATATATTTCTGAGATTTGCAAGGAAATAAATATGGACGAATTGATTTGTACATTGTATGTGTTGAAGGTGAGGTAGCTTTACGTCACGACACGATATTGTGCAGGTATTTTCACAAAGGCAGCCTTGTCTCGTATACGAAGACTACTAATTTAAACATAATGTACTGATTACCCATTCCGGTCTACCTGAACTTATATCCCATGCCACTGGGGATGGGAAGGTGGGTTTGGGGATCATTTCCAATTAATCACATGTTAAAATAATCCCTCCCTCCAAAGTTCCACCATATAAAACTGCACCGATATTAAACGACATGAAGATTAACCTGTACTTCAACCAAATGTGCATACTATGATCCTGTGTAAAATAGTAAAAGCGATCAATAGCATTTCCATAATCATCGAAATATCTGCTAAAAGCACAGTCCATTGTACGATTCGGACTCTATCATGATCATGTGTGTTTGAATCACTGTCAAAAAGTGATGATACCAGGTGTTCGCGAAAAGTTGAACGTATCCTGCTACACCGAACCAAATACCTGACACATGGTAACATGTTCATTTCCGGCAGTGTGGTGGTTATAATGACTAGTGTTACATCATGGGTATGTGTGTAAACCATTTTACGGACTTTGCTCTTGTCATCTATGGTTTACGCTGCAATTCGAAAGCACAAGCCAATATTTATCACTTAAAACGTTGTGATTCATTTAACCATTTTGATAGGGTTGGTTGGCTGATTGGTTTGTTGTTTAACGCCGCACTCAGCAATATTCCAGCTATATGATGGCGGTCTGTAAATAATCGAGTCTGGACCAGACAATCCAGTGATTGACATCATGAGCATCGATCCACGTAATTGGGATCGATGACATGCACCTTTTACGGCAAGCATGGGTTGCTGAAGACCTATTCTACCCGGGAATCTTCACGGGTCTATTTTCAAAGGGAGGGAGAGTGTTCGCAATGAGTTCTCTACCTCTTTATAACAACTTTGAACAAAGTGTTGCATGTCACAGACGTTTTCCGGGCACCCGTGTGGTGCTGAGCATGACAGAGTGTGAGATTCGAACACACGGTCATAAGTTTCTGGCGGGCCCAAGGAGTGCTCTGCACATCGATTTGAAGTACCTATGATGACTGGGCCATTAGTGCCCCGAATGTAAGTGATCGTTTATCCGGTGACAGAGGTAATATGTGTGGCCAAAGACGTTGACACCTAAATAAAATGTCCTGCCGTACATTATTTGATTTAATAATAGGCCAATAGTAACTTTGGCTGTTTAACAGCGAGATCCAGCTGTTAAATCCACAGATAGCAAATCCACCAATGTTAATTAATTTGTGCGGTTCTCATCTAAAGCTGGTCCTTATACAATAAAGTAAGATATAGAACATCACCATATATTGTAATGAGAGAATAATTGGTTAATTGTCGACATGATTTAATTTATTTCACGGCGTGCTAGCAGCTGAATTTACCTCGGTGGTGATTCCCACTGGCGTGACATAGTGATGAGAGACTTAGGAGCAGAATCATCGGAGGTCATCCGGGATTCGAACCCATGACTAACTGTGAAGAGGGCTCATGCTTAATGGAATTGTATGATTCCATTAACTGCAGCTATTCATCAAATGTATATTACTGCGATTAATGGGGGTTATCATTGTTCTACCCCCTTTTTACAGAAACGATGATTTATGAAATGCTATTTATCTCAGGTATTTAGTAGCGTTTCAAAGGAGTGTGAGTGAGTGAGTTGGCTTTGTAACAGTATTCCAGTTATATCACGGCGTGTCAGCTTAATGTGGGAGGAAAGCCCGTAGTGATGCAGGTATCATACGGTTACCACTTCGGTGAAACCAACGAGCACGGGTATGGTGCTGACAAACCTAGAAACATAATTGGGGCCAACCGGGATTCGAACCCATAATGATAGGTTTCTGGCGTCCCCAGCGAATCGCGGCGCCTTAGACGACTGGGCCACCCGTGCCCGCCGCGTGTCAAAGGAATAATGAACAGATGAAGAACTTAAATACAACATGATATATTCTTTCAAATATATTTAGACCAGTTACACCCTGACTCGGCCATCCTCAAGATCTGCATCTCTGGAATCTTTAAGTTTCGCCCATTCATCAAGTCAAGTTGAGCTGCGATGAATGGGGTTTAGCGACGCCGAAAAGACTATGCACTATATAGCGACGTGCATAAATGTATATTTCTTTATTTACATATAACCCCAGTTCTTATTTTATCCCCTCAATGACGACAAGCTGGATAACAAGTGCCACCTTTTAACATCTTTGGTATGACGCAGGAGGGGATCGAATCACTGACCTTCTTCTCTCTGCTGGACCACGGAAGCGGGTCTCCTGTCAAGGTCTTGTTGAGAGCACAAATGTCAGGTTTCATGTTCAGTCAGCATTGCACGGAAGTATTGGAGTTTCGAAAACAGCAAGAGCATGCCATTTGTTTCTCATGGGCGTTTCAGATTTGGTTATTTATACCATTGGCAGTTCAAAAATAGTGTTTTACCCGCGACCCATAAACAGCGATCTAAAATACGACACTAACCTTTTTCGTTGGCAGTTCCTGCAACATAGCAAAAAGAGGCACATCCTCATGTGACACTGCCGAGATGAAGTATACAATAATCAATACACACATCTAGACGGTGCGTCGCCTGGGATAAGATAAAGATGCACTTCTGACTTATATTCTTAATGTTATCTTGTCGTCTATCGTAGGTAAATTGTGAAACAATAATCAATGAATACAATGAATCAAAATAATTAAACATCAAATATGACTTGACGATACATAATCACCTTATGCCTTTTGTGACAGATGCTAACGGTGGGGCAGGATACGATCATTTCTTCTCGAACACCAGGGGTCATCACAATTTGATAGTGATTCGTAAACACGTGTTTTTTATTTAGTTGAAATCATGCAACAGACCCTGCATTTAGCAAATGTTTCTGAAGCCATATTTTAGAAATTCGTATGAATACCACACCTCAGTGACAGCTCTATCTAGTACAAAGTGCCAAGTGAACTGTACACATTAAGAACTGACACACCGAGAAACGTTTTTTTAACGTAAGACAATGGGCTTCCCAGTAAGTAGGTATCATATCTGTGTTTGAGGCTTATTAAAAGTAATTCCAGTCGGCAACCTCGTTTGCATACCTATCGGATCGTGATACCATGTTTATATGGCTGATTTACTGCAGTGACAATATCCATTATATGATAAGCTGAAGTAAATAATATATAAGGCAACTTTACTATTTGACGTGCCAAATTTCTGGAAAAAACTATTATCCAGTGGCGTATCGCCGAAAGATGGAAAATTCGTGGAATGCCGTTTACGATTGAGGATTAGATACTTCGTGCAGATAAACCAGTGTTATGAGATGTCAATTAATAAATGTGGTTTATGGATGGTCTTGTCAGGCTGAAATGGTTATCGAGACAGGGAATATATGTCCTCCTTAATACGTCCGTCTAGTGTATTATACAGGTGAATTGTCTTTAATCGTGATGGCATTCAGCATGCAGACACATTTGACAGGTGACCCTCAACCAGAGCTGCCCGCAGCATTGTTTCTTGCTTTGTGGAGTACCTTCATCCTTCAGAACCGTTGGTTCATCCTCCTGGCTCGTCTGTGACCATCGATTAGTGATATAAGCTGTTCCGAAAATAATATACCCGATAAATGAAACTTATGAATTGTTTGGAAAAGACGCGTCAGACATAAGTATAGAGATACAGATTCATTACATGGTATTGGGAGACAGTGTTATCTATGTTACTGGATGAGAGACCAAAATATGAAATCAACATGCAGTTTGCAAGAACCTGACACACGTAATCTTTTGGACTCATTTAACAAACCATTTTGCTAACTAAAAGCATAGGTCCAGAGTGGATTTGTGTCAACATAACACAGTCAATAATGGTCGGTGATTTAGTTGATTGCGCATCTTCGTAGCCCGACGGCATGGATCGTTGTTCATAATATCAGTCACTAGATTGTCTGGCCCAGACTCGATTATGTACAGGCCGTCGTCATGTAACTGCAATATTGCTGAGTGCGGCGTTAAGCAAGAAACAAACATACAAACAAATTCAACTGGTGATTATGTCCAGCACAAATAAAGGCAACAATCACGCAGTATGTGTATGCTCTACGAAGAAGTATCATATGTGTATTGAACACTCAGAAGAAGCATTATATGTGAATTGAACTCTCAGACGAAGTATCATATGTGTATTGAACACTCAGAAGAAGTATCATATGTGTATTGAACTCTCAGAAGAAGTATCATATGTGTATTGAACTCTCAGAAGAAGTATCATATGTGTATTGAACTCTCAGAAGAAGTATCATATGTGTATTGAACTCTCAGAAGAAGTATCATATGTGTATTGAATTCTCAGAAGAAGTATGATATGTATTTAACGCTCAGAAGAGGTAACCTCTTTGTAGTGACCTCTTAGAATTAACACGTGTGCAATGTGCTCCTGTAAATAACGTGTACACGGTGGGCTCCTGGAAGTAACGTGTACACGGTGGGCTCCTGGAAGTAACGTGTACACAGTGAGCTCCTGGAAGTAACGTGTACACAGTGAGCTCCTGGAAGTAACGTGTACACAGTGGGCTCCTGGAAGTAACGTGTACACGGTGGGCTCCTGGAAGTAACGTGTACACAGTGAGCTCCTGGAAGTAACGTGTACACAGTGAGCTCCTGGAAGTAACGTGTACACGCTGGGCTCCTGGAAGTAACGTGTACACGGTGGGCTCCTGGAAGTAACGTGTACATGGTGAGCTCCTGGAAGTAACGTGTACACAGTGAGCTCCTGGAAGTAACGTGTACACGGTGAGCTCCTGGAAGTAACGTGTACACAGTGAGCTCCTGGAAGTAACGTGTACACGGTGAGCTCCTGGAAGTAACGTGTACACAGTGAGCTCCTGGAAGTAACGTGTACACGGTGAGCTCCTGGAAGTAACGTGTACACAGTGGGCTCC